TTTTGTGAGATAAACCGCGGGTCAGGGATCAATCTCCCACTGACCACTTACTCGGCAACAGGTTGATAAAGCCCGATCTCGGCGTCGTCGGATGGCTAGGAGGGCAGTTCGAGTGGGGAGGGAGGTGAGCAAGTTGATAGGCGTCCTTAAATGACAGGAAACAGGTTTAAAACTAAACAAGCATTTATTATATACTCAACTAAGCACTACAAGAGGTTAAAAGCGGTTATCTCTACTATTTACATAAATTCGAGCACGAATTTTCGAGTTCGAGAGAGAGCGCTTACAAATCCTATATACCCCAAAATACCTGTCGGTGGCAGGGCGAATTGGCGAATGTTCAGGGTGTGGTGTCTTCCGTGTCTTCTATTCGAGATCCTCTCTCTATAGCAGGATCGGGTCCGCTGAATGGAGGCTCGGGAGTTTCGGTGACACTATTACTAAGTATAACTTCCTATGATGAATCGCGCTGAGGTTACGGAGATTCGAGCTTTTATACTTTTTCGTGCGAGAGCTGACACGTCATCGATTCTTGTTGACGATGACGGTGCATTTTTCACACCTAACTGTGAACTTCCTCAGCAAGTTGTGATACAATCGGTGAAATCCGATCTAGTACAAAATCTTGGGGTTTTTTTCCGAAGTTAATTAACAAGAAAATTTAAATTTTTTTTTTAAAGACCCACAAAAATCTGCGGGCTCACACCATTCTCCGCTTTCTTTAAAATTATACTTGTAAGTATAATTTTAACATTAGAATACACACTCTCTCTCTCTTGACATGAGCTTTTCCGACAATGATAAAACTTTTCCGACAACAAAAAAAATTTCCCGATCATAACAATTCAACAAAAAATTAATTCAAGAAAGTTTAACTATCGACGTGTTACATGTGCCGTTAGCATTCACAACGCGATTTATAACTTGATAATTTGTCCTTAAGAAGGTTGTTGATCTACTGTCACAGTTCTGTTGGTGACTCAGTTGTCGATACTGGCTATTAGGTGACTTGGAGAAAGTTTCAAAGTTCATTGTTGATGTTCTCGATGTGCAGTCGTTGACCTTGAAGTGACGTCAGTCCAGATGGTGGAGCTGTTCCGTTGAAACTTCCTCTTTGAATCCGCTGGGACTTGCATGGTCGAAAGTTCACAAAGTTCACTCCAATCTAAGTTCCAAGTTGCAGAATCGAATGATGCAAAAATCTGTGGAACTGACTACTCTCTCTCTCTCTCAAAATCCTACCTAGATTTTTCTAAGCCTAATTAAAGCATGCAAGATTTCTAATACTATTGCCTACTAAATACTAGATTTGCGACGAGACTTCTTTTTCTTTAAATGCCCTATTCTAATTTTAGGAAATAGGGTCGATGGGTGAATAGGTATCGGTATGCGTGATTGAGGGGAAATATCAATACTTGTTTCTGTCCGTGTTGATGTATCTTCTATGGACATGTTTGGTCCTCCTATCAAGGAAATGATGATCAATAAAGCCCTTATCCAGCTTGCAAGGACGTCTAAGCTGGTTTGCAACGTCGAACCTTTATCCTCGGCTTCATGTTGAATTACTTCCGGTTCTTCTTGAGACTCCTCTGTGGAAGGTGGTTCTGAATAAAATTCGGTTTCCCCTGTTTCTACGTTGCTTCTTTTGATTTCTGTTTTAACTTCATTTCGGATAATTCGAATCACCTGTGACTGTTCTGTGGGATGCGTGGAGCGCATGAAGTGGAGTTGATTCGTCTCTTCTTCCGTCCCGTCACTGGTTATCGTTCTTCTACGACCTGTCCTTTTTTTCTTTCTCCATGAACAAAAATGACTGACTGTATCATTTGGTAAAATAATTCGCTCGTTGTCTCTATCGAGAATTGTCTTCTCCTGCTCTAAAAGTGTTCCTCCAATCACTCCTTCAAAAGGGGCGATAGTATTCGAGTGGACAATTTTACATGAGGTGGAAAATTTGTATCCACGCAACTTGAATATAGGAGATGTCATACCTATGGTCTGTATGGTTTCTCCATCCAAACCTGTTATTTTACTTTTAGTTCCAAATTTCACTGGAGCCTTCCCTTTTAATTTGTTGGCAACCTCGTTTGACAATTCTGTGTCCTTGAATTCAGGATCTATACGAACTTTCACTGGAACATTATTAATGTAGCATAAAACTACTGGGTTACGGTTTCGTTTCGTTGAGGTCGTTGTTTGAATAATTCCTGTCCATCGCTCTTTATCTTCTGAGGAGAAATCTATCTCGTTGTGGTCTATACGTTGAATCTGCGCTGATGGCCTAACTCATTTCAAACGAGGATATGAAATCGGACAATAATCTTTTTGTGTATGTCTCAGAGAGGACAACTCGCTCGCAATTTCATTCAATCGAGTTCGAAGTTCTTCCATAGCTGATTTTACTGATTCCCACTCTTCCGGTGGTTTCTCTATAGAGGATTTAACTTCCCTTATAGGTCTGATAGTAGCACGAGGATGTGCAGTAAGGTTCTCTATCTCTTCTTTGCTAATAGCGGCTTTTAATGCGTCATCAAATGTCGCTGGTTCACTTGACATGACTCGCTGTCTAATGCGCATTGTGATACCATTTAAAAATTGAGCCTTTAATCTTTCATCTAATTCTTTATCCTGTATGCGCTTAATCATTGCGGTCTCCGCTGCATCTATTCCCTCTTGCTTTATTTCAATTTCTATAGCAAGGGCTTGTAATCGCGCTGCGTATGTCTGTACATCTTCCTCCGGCTTTTGTACACATGTGTAAAATTTATGAACTCTAAGGTGGAAAGGAACCTTTTCGAAACGCTCTAGCATAACACGCTTGAATTCCTCAAAATCTTCAATGTCTATGATTCGTCTATCTTTTCGGACGAATTCTCGGGCTATTCCCGTAAGTCTAAGCTTTGCCAATGACAACATTTGCATTTTTGTCCATCCTGACAATTTTGCTACATCTACCAACGAGTCAAAAAATTCACTAATGCGGGGACCTTCTGCTTGTCCTGAGAATGCAGGCAGTAACGGAACCAAACTACCTAATCCTCCTAAAGTTGCGCGAGGATTTTTGCCTTCCATTTCTATGCGTCTATTCTAGTTCTACTATGCTACTATGCTTAAAATTTTTAAAAACCTGTTTATGGCGAACAAAACTTGTCTGAGCTGAACCTGTCTAAAACTGACCAACCTGTCAAAAGCCTGGAAGTCGGCTTCACCCCACTCCTGACACCAGTGTGAGATAGGCAGCGGGCCACGGGTTAATCCCACAATGACCACTTACTCTGCACAGGCTCGTGAAGCCCGATCTCGGCGTCGTTGGATGGCTAGGAGGGCAGTTCGAGTGGGGAGGGAGGTGAGCAAGTTGATAGGCGTCCTTAAATGACAGGAAACAGGTTTAAAACTAAACGAGCATTTATTATATACTCAACTAAGCACTACAAGAGGTTAAAAGCGGTTATCTCTACTATTTACATAAATTCGAGCACGAATTTTCGAGTTCGAGAGAGAGCGCTTACAAATCCTATATACCCCAAAATACCTGTCGGTGGCAGGGCGAATTGGCGAATGTTCAGGGTGTGGTGTCTTCCGTGTCTTCTATTCGAGATCCTCTCTCTATAGCAGGATCGGGTCCGCTGAATGGAGGCTCGGGAGTTTCGGTGACACTATTACTAAGTATAACTTCCTATGACGAATCGCGCTGAGGTTACGGAGATTCGAGCTTTTATACTTTTTCGTGCGAGAGCTGACACGTCATCGATTCTTGTTGACGATGACGGTGCATTTTTCACACCTAACTGTAAACTTCCTCAGCGAGTTGTGATACAATTGGTGAAATCCGATCTAGTACAAAATCTTGGGGTTTTTTTCCAAAGTTAATTAACAAGAAAATTTAAATTTTTTTTTAAAAGACCCGCAAAAATCCGCTGGCTCACAGATACCAGGAAAGAATTCTCTGAGGAAATTCAGTTTTAAACATGCATTTTACTAAATTAAAATATGTACTGCATGCAATATTAACATGTGAAACTTGAAAGACTTTTTGTAGACTCGTACATCATTTTACTAAATCAAACACTAATCTATTAAAAATATTAAAACATAAGCTTTATTATTCCATATTCCTCATAAAATAAAAAGGTAGATAATCTGTGAGCAGTTGTCTCAAATAGAACTATTAAAAGAAATAGAAAAAAAAGACTGTAGACAAGATGGGATTTCCTAAACTGCATAGGTATGGAAAATACAAAATACAAATAATAGCTGCTAAACAACAAAGGTGAATTGATTAATAAACAGAATTGAAAATAATTTACAATCTTTTATTCTGAAATTACTATTATTTACTATGTTGGTGACATCAAACATTAAGTATACTGAAGATCCACTAGGGCTGTTGAAAAATTGATCTACCATTCTAGGAGACTGGGGATATTTATTTCCAGGATTGGTATGATTAAAAGGCACTCTTAGTGTCCAAAGATGGTACACCAGCTACAGTTTTTTCCAAATATAGTTGGGTAAAGTAATTGCAGGCAGCATCATTGTTGATATTGTTAAGAAAATTGTAGAAATTAAGTAAAGAGTGTACAATTTTTTCCAGTATCATCAGATAGAAATAAAATATTAACTTAACTAGTTTTTTACATAACATAATTACATTAATATTTTATAGTTTTTTTGATCGTCCAATAAATGAACCTGTAAGATTGAAAAGGAGTAAAATGATTGCTAAAGTATTTGCTCAAAAACACATCAATCAAGGACCTTTTTCAATTAGTTTTCATAGCACTCATGACGATCCTGTTGGTGAGTACAGACTTATACTTTCATTTTGCATTTTAATTATTTTTTCTTTCATTTAATTTTCCAATCTTTTTAAAGCTGGATTTTGAGATTATGTAACTTTTAAAAAACAATGACTACATGGAAACTTTGAGTTACATTAAATAAAAATATTTCTGATATTTTATTGTTTATGCAATCAATAATGATGACTAAAATGTGGCTTGGCAGTGCAACTCATGCAACAACATATCTGACCATTTAGAAATTCTGAATTCAAAAATATTTTTTAAGCTTTCAAAAATACAGTGATTGATATGTTATTTAAGGAATAAATTGCATTATTAGATGAAGTTAATATAAAACATATTAACAATTTTGACCATCTTTATTATATGGTATGATGGATGATAACTTAAAATAAGTTCAATTTTCTCTGTTTAAATAATGTTATATCTTAAATGAAATGATTAGAAAAATTTTTAAATATACACATTGCATAAAATTTTAAATGTATTAAATTATCACTTTGGAACGAGCCTATAATTAATTAGTGTTATCATCATCAGTATAACCCAAGTGTGTGCCGTGGCACTACGAAATATAAAATTTTTTTAAATTTACTTCTATTTTCAATTCAATATGATAAGATGCAACATCTGGCAAACCTGGTGCAAATCATTAACTCAGTAATAACTGTTTGCAGAAGCCTCTAAAAATGTTTACTGGATAATGCTCTGCAATAATTTTATTAATTGTTTTAGTAGTTTATCGAACTTTCTCGGTACTTTGTGTTTGTATATAAATAGCTGTTGGGATCACGTGATTTTAGTGATCAATTAATTTTCAGAGATTGTATCAACTGAATATTGTAAAAGTTTTTGAAGTATTACTTTGTGAGATTCTATATTCAAGTGAAGTTTTTGAGGTATTTCTTCTCATATGTATTTTTAAAAATGGATCGGTTTTTACTAAACAGTAATAAGCGTTGTGAGAAGGAAAGTAAAGAGAGCACGTTGTCAATCAGTGGCAAGAGTGTGAAGAAGTGTAAATATTGAAAATATGATGACAGTTATTTGGACTTTGGTTTTATATCGACAGAAGTCAATGGTGAAGAAAGGCCACAATGTACTGTGTATGAAAGTTTTGACACCAGAGTGCATGCTACCAAGTAAGTTGAAATGCCATTTAAAATCCAATCAACCTAGCATGGTTATTAAATCTCGTGTCTACTTTACTAGGAAGTTAAGAGAGTTAAATCAAGGAAAAGGTAGTTTTTATAAGCAAGCATCAATATCAAGCAATGCTTTGCCAGTAGCAATTTATATTGCAATTCCATTGTGCCATATTATAAGATGGCACATAGAATTGCAAAATGTAAGAAGCCTCATACCATCACAGAAGAACTCATTCTACCGGCTTCTGTAGATATGGTCAACATTATGATTGGTGAGTCTGCTGGGAAGCAGCTTTCAAAAGTGCCTTCGTCTGATAACACCATTAGTTGCAGAATACAGCACATAGTGGAGGACTTCAATGATCAGTTAATTGAAAAAATAAAAGGAAAGGAATTTGGGTTGCTGGATGAAGATGCAGATAATAATGGTGGCTCACTTGATTTGCTAAGTACAGTTTATAGATAGTAATAACATTGTAGAAGATCTTCTCTTTTGTAAAAGTATCACTGCTGATGCTAAAGCTAAAGACTTGTCCAAGATCCTTGATATTTTTATATCCAAAAATAATTTAGAGTGGACCAAATGCATTGGTATCTGTACTGATACAGATACAATTGAATGAAAATTTTTATAAAGCTGAATGCTCTGAATCTCTCCCAGGAGAGAAGCAACATGCAACTTATAGTTTTAATTGCTTTATAAAAGCTAAAGTTTTCTCAATCAACTTTAAGATTGAGAAAACTTTAGCTTTTATAAAGCAATTAAAACTATGGAAAAGAAGAATAAATGAAAATGGAGGAAAAGAATGTTTTCCCCTTGTTGCAACAGTTTTTGACCTCCAATGGAGTTGATTTCTCTCGAGGTATGAAATCTATTTTTGAAGAACAATTATCACAGCCTATCCACCTGGTTTATTATCATTTTGAAAATATTTCTCATTGATAAATTTGCATAGATTCAAGATCCATTTAATGTCAGTGCTCCATCTGAATTTACTGCTGCAAAAGAAGAGAATCTTATTGAGTTGTCCTGTGACAATATGTTGAAAACAAAATTTAACAGCATAAAATTAACTGAATTTTGGATATCAGTAAAAGATGAATATCCCTTCTGAGTGGTAAGGCTTGGAGAATTTTAATTCCATTTGAGACTTCTTATTGTGTGAAGTTGAATTTTTGGCTGTCACTGTGATAAAAACTAAGAATCTCATGAAAATCAATGTGGAGAAGGAAATGAGGGTGGCTGTGTCCAATTCGATTCCAAGATTTGAGAAAATGTGCAGTCAACAGGCTCATCCATCCCAATAATAATAATTAATCAAATTTGTTCAATTATGTTTTATTTATTTTTTACTTAATGTCCTAACTCTTTAATTAAAAAAATGATTGGCTATTTTGCAAATTGTACTTGTTAGAATTTGACAGAGGGTGCCTTTGAAAAACCTGGATTTAACAAGGGTGTCTAGAATCAAAAAACTTTGGGAACCACTGGTATAACCTTACTTATCCATCCCATTTATTGACTGACAGTGGAAATTGATTTGACAATTTTTAATAAGCCTGACATTAAATTTGCATAATTTATAATTAATAGTAATTCATCCTGTGTTGTTTGCCTGCACTATTTTGCTTCTACTTTAACTTCTAGCTGATGTTAAAGATATGAAGTAACAAATGCATGGAATTTAAATGACTACACTACAAGTTTTATTTGGTGAGGTAAGGCAATAGAACATGATGGCAATGCCTCCTGGGAGGACTTTTTATGAGAAATTGACCTGTACCTAGGTGTTAGACACATAGGCTAAGCTGTTGATCAGCTAGGTTTGCCCTACTGAGCATAGGTCATCTTCTTGTCTGGCACAGAACCATTAGAGCATAAACTAAAAAGCTTTTGTCAGCAGCAAAAGTTGCTTTTCTCTCAGTCAAGGCTCTGATTTGGGTGTGGAGTGAGAGCACTCACACTCTTGTCTTGGCACTGTTGAGGTCATTATTTGAAAAAGGTGTTGGTTATGCCATCCAAGATGTTCTCGATCTCCAAGCAATTTAATTGCACTGCTGCATTTGACATTTTTATGATTGCAATTGCATTATCAGTCTCAATGTGTTGCTGATTGGGCTGCAATTTTGAAATTGTAGGCTTATAAATTCCCACTATTGTCCATCTGCCCTTCCTTAATCTCAAGAATGGTATTAGATAAAAGTCAAAACCAGGTATGAAAAGCTTAGGGGCAGGAGACCCCAATTAACTGTATACAAATTTCCAGTATAGAACAAAAGTCATGTGATTTCAGATTCAAACATTTTTCCCTGAATAGAGTTAAATAGATGACTGCTATGACTCTGTTGTTATCAGGAAAAGTATGATGTACAGGGACAAGACATTACTAATTTGAGATGGAGAACATATGTTTAATATTAAATAAATTAAAAATTGCAGCCCAGCATTGTGATAATGTCTCAGCAAATAATTGTTCATAATTAATGAAGCTCTTTCATTCATACTATTTACCTGAAGATAATTACAATAAATTGTGTGTGCATGTATAGCATTTTTTATCTTTAAAGAAAATTAATTTTTTAAGTTAAAAATAAATGTTAATTTATTTTGATAATATGTTAATTATTTGTTAAATTTGTTTTAGGAATGAACTTTGAATTAAACAGTATAGCATCACAGGAACTTTCATCTACTTGGGCTGCAGCTTTTCCAAAATTCATTTCAAGGCGTGGTGCTATAGTTGGAGGCAGCATAAGGCATCATTCCTCACTTTCAGGTTATTGAATATTAACATTTTCTAGGATAAATTTTTACTCTGTATCAGGGGTTGCAAACTGGCCTTGATATTGATAAAAAATCAATATTTCTAACATCTTGCAGGGATTAAAATAAAAAATCCAAACATCTAACTATTGGGTTGTTCAGAAAGTAATTTCGTTTTTTTTACCACTAGACGGATTAGTCATATTTTTCCTGCCATTTTCATTCTAAATCGTATTATCATTATATATTTTGACAGCTAACATTTTAAGGCTTATTTGTAAAAAATTTTATTTGATTTTGTGCAATTGTTTATTTTTGTGTCCCATCAAATATGGAAGATTGAAAGCAGCATTTTTGACATATTTTGCTCTTTTCGGTAATAAAAAAGAATGCTGTTCAAGCGAGAAAAAAATTGTGTGACGTGTATGGAGAAGATGTAGTGACAGAACGACAGTGCCAAAACTGGTTTACAAAATTTTGTTCCGGATTTTCAATATTGAAGATGCACCACATTCTGGATGGCCAATTGAAGCCAATGAAAACAAAATAAAGGTACTGATTGAAGCAAACTACCAAATAACAACACATGAAATCACTAAGAGATTAAATTTATCAAATTTAACTGTTTATGATTACATGAAACAAATTGATTTCATTTCAAAGCTTGATATACGAGTTCCACATGTTCTTAAAGAGAGATGCTCTTTTTGGTGGGATTTTAAGGAAATTTTTTTTTTTGGAGCTTTAACCAGACAATTTAACAATTGATTCGAAAGTGTACTGCCATTGAGTAAACAAATTGAGTAATATCATCAAACAGAAAAGGCGGCCAGAATTGATCAACAAAACAGATGTAGTGTTTTACCACAATAATGTTAAATTTCCCACAAGTTTGATAACTCGTCAGAAACTCTTATAACTTAGATGGGACATGCTATCACACCAACCATATTCGCCAGATGGAATACACTACTTACTTGATGGAATTAACTGTAAGACATTTACTTGAAATGACAATGTCAAAAATCACTTGGATCAGTTTTTTGTAAGCAACGATCAAAACTTTTATGAATGTGAAATCATGCTACTACCAGAAACGATGACAACAGGTATTTGACCAAAATGG